AAGCTAAAATTCTAAAGATGAAGGAGTGGAGAGGAGATAAGTACATGAATAGATCATCTCAGTACAATAGAAAACACCATGAGGAGTGAATGGAGACTCTTCTAGGCATTTTATATGCATTGAGATGACACACACACACACACACACACACACACACACACACACACATGACCCAAGTGCTGAGTAAGCTAAAATTCTAAAGATGAAGGAGTGGAGAGGAGATAAGTACATGAATAGATCATCTCAGTACAATAGAAAACACCATGAGGAGTGAATGGAGTGCCACAGCAACCATGAGGAAAGACCCTCAGTTCCCCTTGACAGGTTTCCTAGGGAAAGTACCACTTGAGCTGCTGCTGGAGCAAAATAAATAAATAAATAAATAAAATAACTCTAAGATATTGAAGATCATTTAAGGGTAAAGACTGGGCTAGATCTTATATAAAGACATAGCAGAGTGAAGACAGTGTAAATGGTCAGATAACCAAAAATATGACCATATACGGAGGTCTTTCTATCCAGAGAGAGAGAGGCATCTCTGGAAGGAACCTCATTTTGTGGCAATGCTTTGTTTAAGTCTCTGTTAATGCCACAATCTGCATAAATGGGCACTCCATGAATATTTTTTGTTTGATTAGGTGAAGGTTAAATTTGTCTCTTAGAGAACTCAATACTAATCACGGTTAAAGTAAAAAAAGAATAGTATTAAAAGTATCAAAGAATAGTATTAAAGGATAGTAGATTCTTGATATTTTCTGCTTTTGAAATCTTAAATTTTCAAGTTTTCAGACAAATACATTGGCTTAGTTAAACTGAGAGATTCTTCCACCAAATGTTAATCACTTTTGCTTTTGACTTGAAATGTCACTCTGTTGAAAGTAATTTTCTTCAAAGAAGAAGAATGAGAAGGAGAAGGATAAGAGAAAAGGAAAAAAAAGCAGTTAAAAAATCTGGAGACAGATGTTTTGTACACAGAGATGGTTAGAGGACAGCAACCAGCATTAAGCATGATTCTCAGTTGTCTGCCTAGACTCACCAGCTAAGTGACTCCATATTACCAGAAAAGGAAATAATCCAGAGTTTCAAAAACTGACTATCATTTTAAACATCATAAACTTTTGGAGTTTTTTGGAGCTCACAAGGAGTCCAATTTCAAATGATAAATTCATAAATGGCAAGGATCTATGATAACACTCATATTTCTGGAGATTTCCCAGATATTTCTCCATTTACTTACTTATCAGAGTTATTAAATCTCTCAGCCTTAAGGACTGCTGAACCAGAAGGAAAAGTCTTGAGTCAGTTGCTCTTCTTCTTGACTTACCCTATTTATATATCCTTTATATTAAAGATCCTAAAATTGTAGTGCAATACCTAAAAGCAAGTTTGCAGTACATGGAAGTGCTTTGGAAAACTGGGCGTGGTGGCCCACACCTGTAATCTTGGGAGGCTGAGGCAGAAGGATGGCAAATTCGAGGTCAGGCTGGGCAAATTATTAAGACTGTATCTCAAGGGTAAAAAAAAAAAGGGGAGAAGAAAAAGGAAAAGGAAGTGATCTGGGGAAAAAACTGAAGTGCTCTAATATTAGCAGAGCTGCTAAAAGATGATTGACACATCAAGGAAATTTGAGCTGTTTTTCCATGATAATTTAAGGGACTCAAAGTCCTCTTAAATCAGATCAGTTCTCTAATATAAACTCTGGTCTAGGATTCAAGAAAGCACTAGGAAGAGACATTTAGTGTTTTGTTTGTTTTTGTTTATTAGCTAATATAACCAATTAAACTGTAAAATACTTGTGTTTTTTTTTTCTCACAAAGAAACTATTTTCAAGTCCCTCTAAAACTGTAAGGCTTTAGAATAACTAGGAATATTATAACTACTATATTATTTTTAACATCATCATGATCTTCATCACCAGATAGAAAAGGCCAGAAAAGAACACATTGTCAAGTGCTTGCTAATTTCTCTTTTGCTTGTTTATATTATATTTTCCAAGGTGATGCACAAACTTAAACACTAACATAGAAAGAATAAGAAGAAAATCAAGCCCATCTTCATTCTCCTATCTTTCTTATAGGTGATGAATATTGAAAGTTAATTGTGGGTACCGTATTCATTGAAAGAACACTGGTCCTCAATTTGATTTTGCATGTCTCATGGAGCACAAGGTTGGCTTCTTTCCATGCTGTCTCACTACCCTCTGAAGAACTGATTTGCCTATGACAGGTGACTATCATTTTAGTCTTCTCTTTCTCCTTAATCAAACTCATATGAATTCAAATATAGAGATAAGAATTTTCTGTTCACACCATTTCTTGGGAGCCACAGTAGCCTCAGTGCCGACTTCAGAATGTATATTCCAAACTTCACTGTAGAAAGGGTGATTTTTCTCTTGCATTGCGACACATGATGCATTATTCAAAATAGCAGTTTTCTATAAACGCTTCAAATTTCCAGGCCAGTCTTCTAGGACTGCAACTGCCAACAGGGAACAGGCAGGTACAGTAAATGTGTGAAGTGGGTCTGCAGGGAGCTGTGCTAAACCAGAAAGTACATGTCCTGTGTAGAGGGAACAGCTGCTTTCAGTTCTAGCCAATAGTTGCCACATGAGAACGTGAGCCCAGTAATATCAGAGCTTCCAATTTTTCAAGAGAAGCTGGAAACACAGAGATTCATATAAAAGACAAATATCTTGATGTTTAAATACTGGTTTAATTTTTTTTTAAATTATGCTATCCAAACAATTCCTTTGTGGTCCAAATTTAGTCCACTGGCAGCCACTTTGCAACCTCTGCTACCTACATATAATCACAACTTTGTTCATTTTATCCACTGATTAATTCATAACTCACTGTTTGAGCATTGTTTCAAATATGTCCAGGGATGATCTCAATAATCTAGATTAATATATTTCCATTCAAGTCAGCTGTTTGCCTGTGCTGCTAAGTTTTCATGATGGAAAGTAATTTGCCCCATCAATGTCCATTGTGGAGACATATCTTACACTTTCCTTTAATTCTTCACTTCATTTAAATATTTGGATAAACGATTGTCTAAGTAAATGACCCTTTAAAAATAAGATGCCAGAATACAACCTCAGGCACAGCTCATAAAACGCTTGGTCTCTAGCATGAAAGACAATAAACCTCCCTGAGAGACTGAACATGTCACTCCCTTCATATGGTGTTCTTCAAACTTTGTTCCTTGGAACCTAAAAGGCTTGAAGTTTAGAAGAGGCCATATCATGGGATCATTGAAGGTTATCCTTCGGAATGTAGATTTTACTTAAAAAGTTGGAGAGTATTTGTTTATCAGATTATAGAATTTAAAAATTGGCCTGTAACTAAAGATGTCTTATCTTCAGATCAGATGAATCCCTCCACATCCATAGAAGTGTTTTAGAGAATCTATTAGCCACCTGATATGTGCTCAATTCTGTATGAAAAATGGCATTTTTCTAATACTTTTGTCATATTTTCAGTGGAGTTCATGATCCAGTATATGATGTGTGATCAATGATGTATGATTATATGCAACAGATAAAACGTGGCAATGGGGTTTGATATTACGAAGTCATTGTTGAGGAGAATTGGCAAGCATTCATAACAGATTCCATAAAAAAGTAAATATAAATCACTGATCAAGGCTGAATCATAAGTTATGGGGTCAGGAAAATATTAACACAATTTTCAATACTAAAGATAGAATTCATCAAGAGAACTAGGTATTTGGAGACTGGGGGTGAAAAAGCACAGACAAAGGAGAATTTAGCATGTAACACATTGAATTATAAGTACCTAGAAACATAAAAGGTCGAGTAAGGACTTGGAAATAGCTGTAGATAGAAGTGTTGGGGTGGATACTGTCCACTGTGGTTGAAGTCTTGAGGGTCAGTGTGATGACCCAGGTGGAAGTGCAGAGAAGAGACGTGCTGTTGTCACCCATTTGAAGGACACATTGGTGTGCTTTATTTACACTGAAGATCAAGGTCCTCAGCACCATGCCGGCGTTATGCAAACTTTTGTATCTCCCAGTGTTTTTTTTTTTTTTTTCCACTCCAGTACATATAGTAAATACTTTGTAAATGTTTCTGGGGTGAACAAATGAGAATAGCACCAATAATAGAATCTAAGGAATGGGAAAAGGATGGGGCCCAGAAAGGAAGTTAAGAAGGATTATTTAACAGATGGGATGAGAACAAGAAGAATGGAAGCCAAAAGAGAAGAGTATTTTAAGACACCGAGAATGGTCCTATAGATTGAAATGCTTCGGAGAGCTCAGTTGGAACAAGGGTTTAAAATCAGCTGCTGGGGCTGACAATAGGAGAATGTTGGAAAATGTGGTTCATATATTAAATTAATCACTGGAACTAATCACTGGGATTTTGGAATATATCCTTTGACGAGTTGGAAGTCAATCTGTATAAGGCAAGTTTCCAAACTCACAATTTAGCAACATAACTGGTAGTATAGATCTAGTATAAGACACACTAACAGGCAATTAATTGTGGTGAGTTTCATTACAGGTTTCCTAATTGAAAGTGCTTCCTGCTGATAGGGTAAGCTTAGTGTATATTAAAGGGAAAAAAATGAAACATACGACATTTTCACTGTGATTCTCTAACAATTAAAAACCCAAACAGACAAATCTGGGAATGCACTGATTACTTAAAGATTTCAAAATTTTCAGTCAATATCTTCTCACACTGAAAACTACACAGAAAATATAAATTGGAGGATTACAATTCTTTGACAAAAATCAGAAGTCTTTCACATTTTTTTTTATATATCCTTGCTTAAGTGCTTATATCTCTCCATGACAAGAAAATGGCCATTTTTAAAATGCATTCTAATAAGAACCAGCCTGTTGTTCCTGGAAAATTAAAATCTCATAAATTGCAGCTCAAAGATCTTCATCAGTTTCCCTACTCAGGTGGACTTTTTGAATATGAAATATTCAGGCATTCAATTACATGTGATATAGTGCCATTGTAATATTTCATTGTCATGCTTTGAGAGAAAGACACTAAAATCAATCTAATAAATAATTGCATTTGAATGACATCATTTTATTGTTAAAAAATAAAAGTAGGAAAGTAAGTATACATTTATCACAAAAATCAGAATGATTATCTTCTAAGCATTAGATATGTAACAGTGCTTTACAGTTTTCTTTGATAATGTCTTATAAATCCAGAAATTACCAAGATTTTTTTTTAAGCCCACATGAAAATTTGACAACTTAGAATTACTGAGCAATCATTGATCAACAATTAGCTTTGCTTCTCAAAGCCCCGAATAGCTACCAGGAAGTATGACGATAAGCTATAGAGTTAGGGATTTTAAAATGTCAAGCTACACTAATAATTCATGCATCCTGAGACCATAAACCCAGAAGCAAGTCAATAATAATGGCATGCTCTTTGGAAAACAGGTAAAATTAACATGCTAATGTTTTAAGTTGAGAGAACATCACAGAACTTTGTTAAATCATTTTCTCCAGCATACAAGGCTACTGATTTGTTTTATGTATTGCTGTTACTTATTATGCCTCCTAGACATGTATCCCAAATGCAAGGCTATACATACTGTCAGTTGACAAAGGGCCTAACATGGCATAATAGCAAAACGTGTATGCAATAAAAAGTAATGCACAAAATAAATATCAATACCCGAACAAGTCAAGTGTGCTAGAGGATACAAGAGATTTCAACTGCAGGTAGCCTTTAAGGAGAGAAATGGCAGAATAATGAAGGACACTTTTCTGGAAGCTATTCCTTTGTTAAGATAAAATTTGCTTAGATTTGTTATTTTTATATTATTTTGAGGTAGCCTATTTTAGAAATCGCACTTAGAAGTAGGACCTCAATTCAATGCTTAAAAAGCTACTTGCTCTCCAGAAACTATATTTTATTTTATTTTTCATGGTCTTCATATTTGAAAGAAGGTTTAAGAATAGCTGCATTTGAAAAGGAAGGGAAAACCGGACACAAGAGAAGAGGGGAATTGTGTTTTATTGAGGTATTTCTTTATTACTACCCTGGGAACTGGGAAAAAAAAAGTCACTAGATCCAGCAAATAAGTCTCCCTAAAAAAAATCTTTAGATCAATCTTTAATGAGAAAAAAAAAAAGATGTTCATTCAGATCTTGTTTTACGTACACTATTCTGTCTTTTCCTAACTCATCAATATGTTCATAATTCTTAAAGTTAGTATTTGAATTAAATGCTCAAGAGCCTTGAATGACATTTACCCAGCCATTAAAAGATACATAGATGAATTCTATGGCATTGATAAAAATCCTCGATATGATTAGTGATCCTCTAACTAATGACATTTCCTCCAAAGTCTCAAAATCACAACAAAACATAAAAAAAAGAGCACCTCGTTACAAAGGAACCCACCATACATTATTTAAAACTTTCCCTCGGAGAGAGCAAGGGATAGAATGCATACTGAGTAACTGCTACTCAATGTGAAATGATTCTTTTTCATGGAACTCAGAGTGCAGATTTCTGACTGGTCATTATGAGAAAAACAAATACCATCTGCAAATAATAATTAGAATATAATACTATTTAAGCCTTTGAAAAGAACATAAAATATGTATATAGAAGCTCTGAAGCTAATAAAAATATAATGTAGATTACTTCAAAGCATTTCACATTTATATTCCTCAACCACTAATAAAGTGAAACAATGTTAAATCCATTTTCTTAAGTCCTATTAAAAAATCTCTCTGTCGCATCAGGAATGGTTCAGCTCACTTGAAGTTACAGCCTGGTTTAGGAAAATTGCATTTTACTGCTCTTCTATTGATTTTTAGCAAATTTAAAACGGTCACTATCTGCTGATTCTGCTTATTGTTGAATTTAAAATGCCATAGTATTTACATAGCACTGAAAAATGACTGTTTTAGTGTATTGTGTTTTTAATGCTGCTCTTTTGTGGTTTATACAGCTAGCTGGCAACCAAGAAGGCATTTTGATGTCATCCTCCTTTGTAGCATATGATGAAATCTCAGATTTTTCTTTAATCAACAATGGCATATTGACTGAGAAATAAAACCATTTCTCATTTCCTTTTTTTGTTAACTTTTAAAAAACTGATCATTATCACAATTACTTTGCATAGGTAGTTTTTATTAAAACTGATACTTAAGTATCAGTGGGTAGGTTCAACACTCTAAAAGGTATTTTCAAATGAATACAGTACCATCTTCTAATT